TTTTCCACCCATCATTTCCTTCGATGATATTTGGAGTGATAATCATAAAGCTGTGGTTCAATTTTAGTGACAACAGATATGTCTGTTTGCTGGTTTCAAAAATATGGTTTAATTTAATTTGATTATTAAATCATGCTTTTCCATTTCCATTGTTTGTGATCATACGTAGCTTGTGATTCATGATATAGATGTACTAAAATCCAACGAGACAGAGAAGCTTCACAAAACTGGTTTTGTTGGAAAATGAATCGTCTCTTCTTCTTACAGCAATATGCGAGGTATTTTTCCCATTAATTATTATCGTTGTTAAGTTAATTTCCCGACACTTGTCCTGACACAGTCCAGGCCTGCCACAGACGGTAGGAGTATGAAGCTGGTCGGTGGGAACAGTGGCCTGGCTACCTTCACTCATTACAGCCTCCAGGGGTCAGTGAGTGTACTGAGGGAAATCTGAGACAAAACCGGCCTTACAGTGTACACCAAGACAAACGTATGAGGGGGCGGGTGCTGGAGGGACTTTGGTTTGCTTCTTGTAAATTCATACCCATCATATGTTTGCAATTAAGGCCTGTCTGTACTGTGTGTTTACAGAGCGCTGCAATCAATGTAATTGTGAGAGGGTGTTCCTGACTCAAACGTCTGTCTTATTTCTCTCTGCCTGGGTTCAAGTGGGCACTTTCTGGATTTGCTCCCCAGTGTTTCTCATTTTCAAATGTAAATGCATCTCTTGATTTGTATCGGCCTCTGTATACACTCCTTGTTTTATCGTTCTCGTTTTTTTCCTGGATCAAATACAAACAACGAGAGCTCCGTTTCGGAGCGGGACGTCAGCTCAGATCTATGTCAGCGGCGTTGTTCATTTGGAGGAAAAAATCTGTTTGAGTTCGTTTTCACAGAGCCGTAGAGCACACTTTAAATGACGACGGTTTCCTTTGGCACATGAAACGACTCTGGTGGAACAACTCTGCGCATGTCAAAACGGTTTTGTCTAGATCAAACTTGATGCTTGTACACTTATGTTTTAAATAAACCACTTTATTTAGCGTCCATGTAAACAGTGGAGGGATCTCAAATTAGATTCAGAATGATATTGATCATGAAAAAAGCACATGTAACAGTAGCTATTGTTTACCATGTTCCTGATACTGATACCTGGTCTTTATGATCATTCTTAAGCAAGTTGATTAAACCGGTCATTTTTTATTTTGTAGAGTTGACGCCATCTCTCAAAACATTAGCTCTGCACACATGTATCTTTTTATTGGAGTTGTTGGCGAAGCAAGCGGAAAATATCTCCAAACTGCTAAGCCTCTGTGGTTAGCTTCCTTTACGCTACATGCTGCACCCAGCAAAATGCACAGACTGTCTGATGCGCTGATTTAGCACGTGTACATGCTTGCTGTAAACACAGACGAGTAGACATAGATGAGAAAGCACTGATGATTTATTCCTGTGTTCTGAGTGCTTGTTGGGCCTCCACCATGCTTTGTGTTGTTACTGCTAATCCAGCTGCAGCCACTCCTGCATCCACACTCCTCTTTTCATGGCATGTGCTGCAGCAAACTGACTCTGCTTGCTTTATAATTTAGGCTAAAGGTATCAAATCAGACAGGTATTTCTTCTTATAATTTTACTTCCAATCTAGTAGTTTTTTGCTGGTGTCAGACTGATGCTGATACTAAGAGTCAGATCAGCGGATCCCTACTTTTGCTCCCAGCGAGTTGACATGATTTAGCATTAAAGCAGAACGAAGGCTGATGGCAGATTGATTATTTTGCCAGAATATTTTCACTAACTTCAGCATCAAAAAAGATTTAAAATTTGATTCACTGCTTGAGAACTTTTAGTTTATTCCTGAGTGAATATGAATGTCCAAATCAAATTCCATCCAGCCTGTCTATTTTACTCAAACTTGTAAATGTCGCCTTTTTGTCAAGCTAATGTAGAGACATGAGGGTTCGTCCTTGTGATTGATGGTGGCCCATCTGATGAGTTTTCCTTACCGATATTTTCAACCTTCAACTTTTTAAAAATGTATCATTCCAGGCTTTGAAGCACAGTGAGTTTTTTGTGATTGCTTGTTTGACACATGGTGATTAAAGCTGCTGAGATTTCCCATCAGTCTACCTGTTCGCAGCCCTGGAAATTATGTTGATGTGGTGTCAGTTTCTGCAGGACCTCTTATTCTCTGCACACCCTTGTTTCTGCTTTCGAAGCACACTGGAAATTGGTTTAAAAGTTTTCACTATTTTGGAGTCAGTGTTATTTTTTGGAAATAACAAACTTGACAAATTAAAAAAACACCACTGAGCAGGTGTGTTTCCCCTCTTCTCACCTTTTGACCTCTCTCTCTCTCTTCTCCAGGTTTCAGGCAGCATGGCGGGATCCCCGGCCAGCTCCACCACCCCGTCCACCTCGTCACGCCAGTACACACGGCAACGCATCACCCGCGTCAACCTCAGGGACTTAATTTTCTACATGGAGCAGGAGAGAGAGACCGCCCACTCCCTCCTCCTTTACCGTGCCCTGCTCAAGTAGCCTCCGCTCCGCTCAGCGCCCACCTCAGCCTCCTCCTCCTACTACTTCCCCTTTTGCCACGTGCCTTCAGATCAGGTCTAATGTTTCAGCTCCGTGTCTCCATACGTACTGTAGTGAAGTTTGATGTAGCTTTTCATAAAAACAGAAAGAAAGAGAGAAAAACGTACAAAAAACAAACTGTTGTTCCTCGTCTTCTTGGTTTAGATTCACAACGTGTAGTTAGACTCTTCGGTTTAACGGCCATATCAAAGTCTTTGTGTTGGACAAAGGAACAAAGTGAGTTGATTTCACAGACTTCATGTATGTCAGGTAGTTATTTATTTGACGTCAGTGGCAGTAGCTTCAATAAATCACCTCAAAGAAAGAAAGAAAGAAAGGTTTATTTTGGAGGAGATAGCTATGTTCACGCCTCGATACAGCCTACGGTATCCTCCACAACGTATTTGTTGAACCCGAGTAGTTCAATGAATGTAGATTAGCTGATCACAGTAAGTGAGAGATTTATCTGATTTCTATACATCCAGACATCGTTTTCAATCATGAAGATTCCAAATAACAGCACCATCATCCAGTTTCCTTCTGTGTAAATAGTTCTTTTTGGAATTATTTTACAGCATGTATATTTTTATCACATGTAAGCTTTGTAAGAAAAGGAATAACCCATGTGTCAATATAATGAAACCTGATGTTTTGTAAAATCATGTGTTTTGGATCAGTCAGAGTTAGACGGTTTATTCTGTTCACCTGTAGAAGAGTATTCGTAATAAGACAGAGTCCCCATGACCCCGTCTGCAGAGATCTCTAAACTAAAACCACCATGGCACTACGACGAACATGTGACCCCTGTTGAATGAGTCAGTATTTTTTTATACATAAATAATGTGAACATTGTTTTTATGACTAGTCGTTTGTAAGTCGTGTACTATCATGCTCACTTCTTCTTCTCAAACTTACCCGGTAAGGGGGTTAAATTTGATCTGGTGGGGTGGAGACCAGAAAGAGATAAAGCAACAGACATTCCTTCATTTTACCTCTCACTGTACAATCTGTGCATCAATTTTGTGTTTAAAGAAAAATTAAATTTCAAGTGTTCTCACTGTTGCTGGTGGCCTCCTGGAGCCCCTTTGACCTACTTATGACTGAACGATCTGAGTCGTCCATTGTGCTTTTCAAAGCTCAGCACTTATTCTTGTTTCTATTTTGATCCTGAGCTAAAAAACTACAAAGAAGTGTTAAATTAAAGACAAAGTATTTGATTCAGGCCTGATTGATTTAAAAAATCACCCATTTTAATCCAGACTTTGTGAAAGTTAAGTTATTGAAGTGAGAAATGGGACAAATCGCCTGCTTTTACATGTTGTATTGCATTGTCGCCTTTTATTCTTTTTTTTTTCTTTTTTAACAAGACCTTATTGTGTTGCGTAATGTTGTCTGTTACGTTTTTATATTTAACAAAATATCTTGGCCTCTATGCAGCTTTTTCTTGTCTTCTAGAAATTTATTTAAATTTGAAACAACTGTTGTGCATTTAACATTTTGACGGCACTTTTTTTAAATCTCTCGATTCCCTGACAACTGAGAGCTGTCGCTGTATTATAGCAAAGAAATGACTCTTTGAATTAGGGAAGAGTATTTGCCAAATTCTCTCAAGAGACTTATTTTTAACAATTAATATATTTCCTTTTTTTTTTCCTTTCTGGATTGGCTTTTATGCTTGGCACATTTTCATAACTTTTATCTCCCAAATGACATGTTTTAAAAACAAGCACAACAATATCTATTGTGGTGATTCCAAACGATTTTATTAATGTTTTTATGGTTTCTGGTGGTTTCACAGGAGGACATTTCTACTACTACTACTACTACAGCTTTTTAGCCAAAATACTAGGACATTATAACTGATGTAAACAGATGGGGAAATCACATTTCAATGTAAGGATGATTTGTAAATATTGTTTACAAAACTATGTGTTTATTAGAACCACGTTATTTTTGGTAAACTCTTGTACATATCCTGAAAATTTCCTGTTTGTGTGAAAAAAACAATACTTATGTATTTGTACCTATTTTGTAAAGGAATAAATAAGCTGTTTACTAAACTGAGCAGACGGTTACTTTGTCCATTTCTTCTTTTGTTCTCCTCTCGCAGCACACACTCCAAAATGTCTGCAGGTACTGTTGGAGTCTTAAAAGAGAAATGACTTCAGAATTAAGCAATAAGCCTCCCACCGTTGGTTTCTCCCTCCTTTGGAGGAGAAATAAGCTGTTATGTTTTTTGCGAGATAGTTTTACCAAAGCCAACGACTAATTCAGTCGGCTTCATTTCCATTTCTAACATCGCACATGCTAAGTACAAACTGAGTCAAGCGCTGCTGCTCAACTATGAAAGTCCCCTTAGGTTTCTGCTGCTAATTAAGCAGAAGCATTTTGAAAAGACCAAACTGTTTAACTCGGTGCAAAATATTGGGGTTTGGGAGCGTATTGGTTTTTCAAGATCTTGCCCTACTCCTCAGTAGGAAGAGAGAAGAAGACTGCTGATCTGGATTTAGCCCCAGAGATGACCTCTACTCTACAAACATGAACTGGGAAGTGGAAAAATGCCCTGATCCGGCGCAGTAAGCTGGAGAAATTTATCAGGTCTCATCAGTTCAGTTACAGGCCACAGAGATCAGATCAGAGAAAACAAAAGCAACGTTCAGACTTCAACGTTTGCAGCCAGCGTTATCTATGATAAACGCCTTTTAAGACCGCTAATAGTACTATTAGAAGTGGGTTGTTGCATAAGTGAGGTGACTTTTTAAGCTCAATAGAACAACACAGGAGCAATAAGACACACAGCCGAGATACAGTACATCCTTTTATTATCGCAAATATGCAAGAAAAGTCAAACGGAGACACTGTAAATGAACACATGCCCTTTAATACCACAGTCTAATTGTTTTAAACACTTTAAATAATATACATTTGCACCTTATGATACCCTTTGAAATGTTTTAATCCATATGTACACAATGTAATGCTTTGAATTTCTTCTCATTCTTTTCGTGAAGAGGACTGAGAGGTCTCTTTAAAAACACGCGGGTCCTTTAAAACCCAGAGTCCTGATAATTCAATATACAATAACTGTACAACTGGATCCGCCTCAGAGGGGAAGTGAATGCCATATGAAGTGGCTGAAACACTGACCAGTACTTCACCTGAAACGGCAGCACGTGCGGACACGCCTGTGGAGTTTCCAGTCCCGTCTAGCTCTGTAGTTAACCTGTAACTTGTGTGTAGAGTAAGAAGGGGTGTGCCAGGTTTGCTGACAGCAGACAAAGAAAGCCAAACCTGTACTTTTTGTTCTTTTTTTTTAAACTTTTAAGAGCAGGTTTGATCGGTCATTTTTGTTTTTAATCATGAGTGCATAACCCCTTAGCTCTGTAAAGCCGTTAAAAGCCCCGTTTGGGATTCCAAATGCCACATCAGTGAGAAAAAATGCCTTCTTCCCTTACTCCCTGAAGAAATTAACTCTTGCAGATGTGTGGCTGGAGTACAACGCTGGTTATTTTTTTTTTTTTACTCCCGTTTCCTCAAAAGCTAACCCAGATGAGTTTCCACACCTCACATGAACTGGATCAAAGATCTGGGGATCAGCAGCCGCAGAGTCTCCTGGCTGTACAGTGTGTTCTCAGTACACTCACATTTGACTCATCAGTTTGTTTGGTTTGTTGCGGTGTGGTCCATCGAGCCACAGCATTGGAGGGCGCTTTAGAAAACCAGGGCATGGGGATGACACAGCAGCAGGGGGTGCAGCCCGGGTTTCTACTGGCACTGCTGAGCTGGGGGGCAGAGTGGGGGGGGACGATGAGGAGCACTGTGAAGAGCCCAACATGCCTCAACACATGAAAGGCCTGGTTGACCATTCCCTTTGAGGCGACTGGATGCAAAGGCGCAGGCCACTGGCAGGTCAGAACAAAGATGGGCTTGATTGTGAGAGAGACCCCCCCCCACGGGTAAGAGGGCGCTGCACTGGGAGCTACACCGAGCTCATCTTTATCCACTCATTGGCCTTGTTTAATCAGCAGCCATCCGGGGAGAGCAGTTATCAAGACAATATGGTCAGGGAGAACTACCAGCCATTTTTAATGAACAGCTAGTTTATAAAAAACAACCCCCTGTTACAGTCAAACAACTGCCAGAGCCTGCAGAGATCAGAATGGGCTTTTCTTTGTTATCAGTCTGCTGGAATGGAAGAAACAGCATCTGTAAGTTACACACAAATATAAAGCATGAAAACTTGGCCTTTCTTGTTTTTGTCTTTGATCCAGAAATGTTGAGAATAAGACCAAAAGAATGAGAGCAGGATGGAGTAAATGCCACCCACTCGCCTCTTTGTGAACAATGCTCTGATGCTGGGAGTATAGTTCACACTGGGTTCTGCCATACATACATGTGAAGAAGCATTGAAATCATCTCAGCTTAGAGTGACAATATGAGAGCAAACAGAGACTTTGTCTTTTAAACTTTGTGTGAAGGTACTGTGAGCTATTCTCAACTAAACTGTCAAGACTGGAGGCCGGAGGGGACGAGTGCTGGTGCCCTTCACAGCTCTATTGTGTCTTATTTAGCTTTAACCTAAAAGGAGATTATGCTTTTACGTTTGTACAATCAACAGAATAAGCACCTACCCTCCTCTGATAACCTCAAGTATTTGTTCTAGTTTGACTCTTTGAAGTGTTTTTGATTTTTCACCTGAAGTTGAACAGGTCGACTCGGCACAGGTCACAGGGTTCAAACAGGGCAGGAAACATTTAAGTGCAAAGAAACGTGAAGCATTTAGAGTACATCTCAGGCTTCTCACGAGACATACTGGTAAACATCAAATCTCCACATTAGTCCTCAAGTCTTTAACATTCTTACTCAACAAAACTGCGATACACTTTGGGAGCTTGTGCAACTTCAACCTGAATTTTAATTTCATGAACTTTCTTAAGCGTCTACTAAATATGAACAAAGGTTTGTGCTCGTGAGAGAGAATCCAATCAGACACCCCAGATATGTTTGGGAGCTAATAAGCAGAAATTTTACAGAGCACTTTTTTTGTAATGTGTGCTTCACATTTGACAAGAGACAATGTCAAAACATCCAGGTTTTCTTCCATCCCGGTTTGAACAATGGGACTTTTTCCGGCTCTGAATGCATTGCCAGCCAGATCGCTTTAGCCACATAGCCTGCAGACATCCGAGTTTCTGCAGCTACTGCCAAGAAAACGCTCCCTCACAGGCTCTCGAAGCCTAATGAATACAACGTTCATACATCCTTCATATTGGAGAAAGGAAAAAAGAGACATTAAAAATAATCCTATTAATAATAATTGTTTACACCATGTCATGATAAGAACAGCAAAAGGAGCAAGAAGAACATACTTTAGAAACAACAATGAAAATTGTAATAAACAATCAGTTTGGCAAACAATGCTGTTTTTTGGCAAGGCCCGTCTCTATAAAAACAAAACAACAAAAAAAAAAAACAGTAGAGTGAGGGGAGACGGGCTTGAAGGGTTCAAGAATCGGGGGCCTTTTGAGAGACTCACAAAATGGGATTAAGTCCTTTTCCTGTCATCTCTACCAGCCTAAAGTCCGTCACAGTTTCTTCATCCCAAAGCAGGCCTCTCACACGCGACATGGGCTTCATCTAGAAACAAAACTGGAAGATACACTGCTGAAAGATGAGGCTTTGTGTGTTTTTTGGGGGGGGATTAGTGAATTGGGATTTTAAGAATCGGCGTTTATGTCTCCAAAAAGGTCAAAATGTCTCTTTCATAATAAAATTAGGAAAAAAAATCAACCAGTTTTGGTGCTAAAATGGTTCAAGTAAGCTGCTGTTGAGTCCATTTGTCGTTGTTTTTCCTTTCGTCAGAGTCCCAGATTCTTTGGGTCGTATTTAACATATTTAGAAATCTTTGCTGCTGATGTTTTTTCCTTTATTTGGTTCTACATTCCCCTTAGAGTTCTGCAGAGCTGGCCAGGTTAACAAGCCTCTGCTAATACTTCGGTATCTGGGGGGTGGTCGTGGTCCTTGAAGGGCAGAGGGAGGGGTAGGTATGGTTTGGTTGTTGTGAGAAGATGGAAGGATTATCAGGGTTTGGTTGGCAGTCCCTCTCCCAGAACGCTCTAGTCCAGGGGTTCCTGTTTTATCCTGATGGGAGTGTTGATGGAGAGACTCCGTCGGTCCTCACGACACAACACGTACTCGCTGAACTGAGACGAGTCCACGCCGCCCCCACAAGACGCCGCCACGCTGAAACCCTTCTGGAAGAGACGCTCCAAAACCTGAACACAGGGAAGAAACAGAGAAGAGGGCAACGTGAGGGACAGGATGTTTGTAGACTTCTACATTGACAGAAACCAGCCAATGAGTGCAGATCAAACTCGGACCATAGATTCCGTCTTTTGGCCTTTGTAGAAGCCATTTTTTTTAGTTTATGTCAAGATCTAATTTTTAAGCAAACAAATAAAAGTCTCAGTTTTAGATGATTAATTGTAAGGCCCAAATTCATGTAAATATGTGATTCAAAAGTAATAAAATGGGTTGTTTATATTAATTAATAGATTCAGATATGCCTGTCCAGAAAATGTTTGGTTATGGGTGGAGTCGCAATCTTTTTATGTCAGCCAGCACAGGTGTACAGGTTAGTTTTTTGTTTGGTCCAGGTTGAAACAAGCATTATGCAAATGTTTTTTCACTGTGAAATGGGAGCTGAATTGAACACCTTTTTGATATTTTGTTCAGTTTTTGAGTTGTGAGCTCAATGGAACCCGCAATCTGTAAAATAAACAGAGCGACCAAAGACCTGTGAGTATTGGAATCATTTTATGAATGAAAGTGGACGTGCATCAAGATAATTCAGTCAGACTTTCTACTAGTTTCTTCACTAACCTGTTAGTTTTCCCTCCATTTTTAAAATTCTTTGTGTATAGTGTTTTGTCGGTCATATTACTCGTCTTTCTTGCCAAAGTTTGGATTAGAGAACTAAAAACACTCCTGCTGCTGCACTAGCCTGCCGCTAGCTAACCTGACTTGGTAGTTTAGCTTTGGATCAACCAGATAAAACAAAGTTTGTTTGTGTTTAGTACTTTACTGCACATGCAGACTTTTACTAGATAAATCAAAACACAATCTGTTCATTTTTCAGCCTGAATTAACAAAAGTTGATCTCATGACCAGGATTTTTAAGATGGTTGGTGCAACCAAACTAAATGTAAAGCTATGGTAGGTATCACTATTTGATATCTATCCATTCTGGTGTCAAGCTCAGATCCTCATCTGCTTCGACATACACCATGTGTCATTAACCTCCCTCTCCTCCAATCACACATAGTGATGGAATAAAACCAGAGGGTACTCCGACATCACACCACCTCTGCAATATTCATGCTGCTTTCTCTGGACTGGCTACTGAACCGAAGGCCATGAGCTCAAAGGGATGAGGAGAACCGAGTGTGAGTGAGGTGTGTTAAGGGGCTGAGTGGAGCTCAGCGTGGTGATTACTGAAGCTCCTAATTTGAGTAATGAGGCTGGGGTGAGAGGAGAAGTGAGGTCCGTGAGCGAGGGAGAGAGAGCGACGTGTGGGGAATGAGGATGGGGAGATATGGCGGATCGGTACGAGGACAAAGTGTCGGAGCTGCAGGGAGGGAACCGAAGACGGGGATTCATGTTAGCCCTCCAGTCTGGGCATTGATACACACTTTAGACCAAATGCAGATACACGTGAACTCCAAGATCACTTTTCTCTCTGTAATCCTTGTGGGATGTTGTTTTTTTATAGAGGGGGTATATCTAAATCCCAGTGCGAGGAGTGCTGTGTATTTACTTATTCCCCCGTCCTTTTTAATGGAGTGTGCAGTGCATGGAAATGAAAGGTCTCGCCGAAGGCTAACCCCACCCCCTCCTGATACAGAGCCAGAGAAGTTTTGCACAAAATAGATCAGTTTCTTCAGACTCTTTCACACACTCATGGCAAAGGATGACCTCTCTAATTACAAGAGCAGGAGCCCCTTCGGAGGGCTAAAGTGGGGCGTTGAGGCCTCCAGGTCACATGGCTGCAGCCTCCCCTGACCAAGGCTACATTTAACAGAGAGCAGCAGATACACGGTGCACAAAAACACACGGAGACTGACATGATAACGCATGTGTAGGACTGCAAACCTAAATATGCAAATTCCAACATGCATATTCACACACAAACTTGTTGAACAGACCTGAACCCCCCCCCTCAAAAGCAAACATCCTGATTAAAACTAAAATGTGGGCCGACGTGCAGCTTGTAAGCAGAAAGGACCACTCGGAGAAGTTGCCCCCCTCCTCCTTTTCCTCCTCCTTTTTTGTCCTCTGGCCATACGCCGACGACAAACTCTGTAATTTGTGAGACAGAAGGGGCGGCAGACAGCTGATGGTGAGGATGGCTAATTAAGAGACCTGCCCAAGCATCAAACACTCCCAAATCCATGACAGACGACGGAGGAGCCTAACGATTATGGAAATGATATTACATAGCTGTCTTTGATCATTGCATCACATTGCATTTTTCCCCATCATCTCTTAACGCATGTGGGACTCTGTCATGTTCGGCAATGAATTTGGTCACAGAGGAGAATGGCCCGATCAATAAAGATAGTCTGAAAACACTTTTATCATTAATGCCTGGCAACAAAAAGACTTAAGGATATTATTACAGATAGCTGTAACTGATTCAAGAGTACTGTAATGACTATAAGAAGCCATCATAAAAACTTCACATCCAGTTTGACACAGTGAATTAACGCCACAGGGGAATAAACAATACGTAGAATAATTAAGATAAATCTAAGGTTTCAATGTCCACAGGACAATGTCCTGAAATCAGTCCCAGCTGACAGCAGAAAGCAGTGCAGCCTCTTAAAAAGCTAACACATGTCCTGGTGGCTCAGTTCAGCTCTACATACTTGTGACTGCAGGCTTTTAAAACTTGTGTTGTACTTATGCAGATTTCTCTGCTTACTTTCCTGCCTCACTTGAGCGAAACCATAGCAAAATATACTAACAGCAGGGTTGCATGAGAGCAATCTGATGGCTCCGAGTTTCATTCCAGGCATCATGCTTTCCGTGAAAGGGAAAAATCGCCCATTCCAATTTTTGTTTAGTTGAGTTAAGTCGAGTTGTTTTTACTTTATTTTATTGTGTTCAACTCAGAGGTTTACTCCCTTGTCTCCAGATTTGTTTGTGATAAAATGTGAGGTTTTCACATCACCGCTACACAAATCCAGTCCTTACACCACCTTGTTTTTGCAAAAATCTAGATACAAGAGTGCAGAGGATTTGACACCTCTGTGCCAAAGTTTTCTTCTTCCCTCCTGAACTTCAGCTCTTCTTCACGCCTCTACCGTCTGTGTGATTGTAACAGAAAGATAAATTAAAGCATCTATTCATCCCCGGTGATCCCTCAGCAATTGAATCATAATCAACCATTCTCATTGTTACAGGGTCGACTTCGGTGCTCTGGGATTTGCCTCCCAAACACACACATTCATTCAGCATTTAACCATTTCTCTGAGCTGCCACTCAAGCCAGGGACACAAAAGGCAAAAAGTCACTCCTCTAACCTCCAACACGAGCAGGAATCACGGAGGATGATTCTCGTGGCTGGAAACCGGAGCACAATGCAATATTGATGGCCACCCGAGTGCAACACAAACTCCTCTCAGGAGGCGCTGGAAGACTCTGCTCCTCATGGCACAGGGTTTAAAGTTGATTGACACGTATGACACACACTCAAACAGACACACACTGGAGCATGTGATGGGCGCTGCACTCAGGGGGTCGCCTTTGTTTAACTATGCAGAGTCTTTCATATGTGACAAGGAGCGCTAACTGCAGTCTCTGCATCGTATCCTCCACTTATCGCAAGCATCTGGCACAAAACAGCCGAGAAGAATGACTCTTTCTAATTCTCTGAGCCATCTGCCGGCTTTTTTAAGGATTCACAAACGACGAAAAACATTTTGAGAGTAAAATATATTCTATAAGCTTTGAGCACAGGGTTAAGTGGCTGTGTTTGTGTAGCTGACAAAGGGCTCACAGATTACAAATGAACGTATTTTTAGGTAACCCCTCTACTGGGCAGCATAAACACTCACCGAGCTAAACTAAACTGTGAGTGGGGTCTATTTATGCTATATAGATTCAACAAGCACTCAGGAAAACTCCTCTTCCTGCCACCTGTGTCACTGTTTGACTTTTTAGCAGGACGAATGAATCCCTGACTTAAAATCTGAAACATCAGTTCACTGTTTTAAATGAATCCTCTGTGATCCTAACCAATACTAAAGGCAGTGTGCACCATGTAACTCAGGTTTTTTTCTAAATTAAGAAAAAATATATGGTGTTATTACTGTAAATGTCCATTAGTTATTACCTGGAAAACAATATGGCGAAAAACAGATATTTCATCTTTCTCGACTTGAAATAAAGTTTGTTTTCTCCTGATAAACTGTGTCCTGAATTTGGTATCAGATGATTTTCTTTTTTTTTTTTCTATTCATTATCTTTTGCCTCTGGGTTTATCAGAAAAGCGATTGATTGTAGCCAGACTTACTCTCAAAAAGGTCTTTTTCCCTCAAGCTGGCTATGTCTTGTCCAAAGAAAACACTCAACATTTCTTAAAACACTTTCTGGCGCCGGCTGCTGAAGCTGTCAGCAGCAGCAGCAGCAGCAGCAGCAGGGTCCAGTCTCTCTCCTCTGCACACTACATGTAGGTTAAAGTACTGCCTGTTGATCCTTAGCTCCACGCTGTGCACCCAGCCGCACAGACACACCGAGACTGTGTTAATGTCTCATTGTGCCACTGAGGATCGAAGGCAGGAGTGTTTGTGTGGCCTCATCTGCTCTGATGAGCTGTGCTTTCTCCCTCTACCCCGGCTCAGAATTGATGGAGTGGCAGTGTGACATGTAAGAGAGTGTTGCGACATGTTGCGTTCCCCAGCCGGGCGGCAGGGGGACAGGGAGGCCCTCACTACGACCGCCTCAGCTGTCACATTGATGAAGGACGGATTGGCTCGGGTCTGATCTGAGTGCTTCATCACGGTGATGTATGGAGCAGCCTGGCCGGCTCCAGCTCTGGGACGCGTGTGTGTACACCTCTGTGGCTCTTTGGCTAAATGTTTTCCCTCCTTTAAGTGGCTCTGCTGCTCTTTGTTTCTCTCGGCTGGATCTACATCACAGAGCAGGTGGTTTGCATTATTCCCCAAATTCCATTCATGACTTCATGGAGAATCACTCGCCAAGGTGGGGCTGTTTATTCTCACTCTCTCACATTGGAAAACACAAGATGAACGAGGAAAGAGGCCACATTATTCTGAGATACAGTAAGTACTGCTCTCCTCATTCAGGGATCCAACACCGGATTACTCTCTTAATCAATAAATCTATCGTTTTTTATGCTTGATCAGTCTATCATTCAGTTTATAAAATGTTAAGACTTATAAAAAATGCTCATCATAATATCTTAATGCCCAAAGGGACATCCTCAAACAACCTCTTTAGTTAAACAAACAATTAATAAATCAGGACTTTTCATTCATGACTCCTCATTAAGTATCAAATTCTGACATTTACGAGCTAAAACCATGAATTATTGAATGTATTAGTGTGAATAATCAACAAAATGGTTCATTATTTGTAAAAATATTTGGATATTCATCGTCTTTGAATGAATTATACAATAATCTTGCTGCTCTGCTGATGTTTCTTACTGTGAAACGAGATGATAAAATGATGTGTTAGCTATGGTTCTCTTTGAATGGAGCTCCACAAAGAAGAGCATCCTTGAAATCCTGTAAATATCACAGAGTAATTGAGATATTTTACTCCAAAGTTTAACAAATTTCACTGACCTCAGGGATGTTACTTTATCTTTCAGCGGATAAGGAGCGAATAATAAACCGGAAAACCAGGTTGCTGTGCCTGGTGTACAGTAAAGTATGAAGAGAAATGTCATGTTATCTCATTGTGACCAACATATCACAAGGTCCAGCAGTTTCCAGCCCGGGGGGAGGCGGCAACAGTACCTTGGCTTCAATAAAATCATTTGAGTCCAAAATGAATTCTCCCTGCCTGTGACATCATAAATTGAAAACAGGATATTCAAACTTTGTCGCATATCCATCTCTTTCTTGTCAGGACCTCAAAATCCAGTCGTAAATACCCTCTTCCAGACAGAACTGTGCGTCTCTGCCTGATCTTCCTCTGTGGGCAGGGTGTGGCTCTGTGTGTGTTCCCCTGGGTTGGGGTCCAGGGCTGAAATCAGATCAGAGACTCATTGTCTGGCGGGTAAGACGAGGATTACTTTCCTAACCTTCTCATACCTTCACGCAACAATGAGAGGGAGGACAGAATGAGTAAGTTGTTTAGAAAAATCTCCCCTTACACAGAAAAACACCTCCATCTGCTTCTCGTGTCCTCATCTACATCAACTCAATGAGCCGGGCCTCTCTACTGGGCTGCGTGTATGTGTTTGTTCTTTTTTTCTTACAGAATTTTGTGTCTGAAAAGAGGCCAACATGAGACAAAAAAAAAGAGTCGAGAGGCCATACTGTGAGACAAAAGAGAGCATCGCTTACAGGAAACCTGGAAGATCCAGCTCCTCTTCCTCTGAGGAGCTCGTCTGAAAAGAGGATTTCAGCTCAGCTCGCCTTCAAACAGCAGCCCAATAAAAACCCAAACATTAAAAACTCATTTCAGACCATGTTAGTCTGACGCGCTCACACTCCATAACCAGTCTCACTGGTAAACAGAGTGGGAAAATGTTGTGTTAGTTGATGCGGCCAATTAATTATATTGCAAGTCATTTAAAAATCTATAAAAGAAGTATAAACCGGTTTAGGCTGTTTGAGAAATTGTAAGTATGGTATTAAAAAATGCAATACGTGTATTTCAATCGCCCTGAGCGGTGTTATATTGGAGTCTTTTTAAAAAAGGAGCTGTGTCTTAAAAAGGAGTAAAGCGTAAATTATGCATATCATTTTCCCCCCCTCTCCATTCCTCTTCTTCATTTTTTCGCAGAAAAACATGGCCGCAGTCCACACGTGCTCTGTCCCGCTCGCTCGCCTCTCCTCCCTGGAGGTGGTCTCTCACTCTGGCAGGGGGGGAGGTGGAGGTGTCAGAGCGCACTAGCCTGCCTGGGAGAGGCTCCCTTTGGGTGCTGGAGGGGGGAAGGCTCCTCTATGTGTTGGCCTGTTCATTGCTGTGGGCACCAGAGTGTGTTATATCGAGCCTGTGGTGTGAGGCTGTTATGTTTCCTCCCTCTCACGGAGCTCTCTGGATAACACAACTGGAAAACTATTTTTCTAAACTTTGAAGGAGTTGGAAGTCTGAACACATTGTTTTTATCAGACGACATGTTTGAAAGTGGTGAATTTAAAAATTACATCAGTAATATTTAATTTTCTGCATGATAGAAAGATAATGAGCAGTCAGAACCACTGAGAGCATGCTGGGCTACGATTTGACTGTACGCTTCAACCAAAAGAGCTGAATCAGAGGGAAAACTCACTGTACACCTGTCATAGATAAACACTTCTTTTAAAACTAACTGTAGCTCATTTAGAGCAGCTACTACCTCAAAAAATAACATTAGGCTACAACCTCTGCGGTGTTCAAATGCAACACTGAGGGTTACAAATGATGCTAACAGCCTTACACCAACATTTTAATGTGATTTTTTTAGGCTTATAGCCTACTTCAAAGAAAAACAATGTGAAATTATGTTGCAGCTTTCCTTCTTAAATCTACCTCCAATAGTCTACCTGGACTTGAGTATTGGATAAAACCTTCAACACCAGCGCAATGAAGACCACAATATTATTTGAAACAGATCAGTAACTCTGCATGGGTGTGATAGGATAGCTACCATGATATTGTGTTAAATGCCTCAATATTGTAACCTAAGAACAAAGTCAGCACCAGGAAACTAAAGCTATAATCAGTTTTTATAATTTTAATCTCTTATATGAAGAAATCCCTCTAAATCTGTGATGGCTAAACACAGACCTCTGACATTTAGCTAGCTAAGACTAGCATTACACTCTCTGCTAGCGTAGCATTGTTGGTCTTTGCTATCATCATTTGATGATTTACATAAAACACGTTAAACTTTTTGGCTGTGAAAAAAAAGCTTATAGTGACAACAAGATTACAAATTAATCCTAAGAGGAGAAATACTTTTGTAGGCTCAAACAACTAGACTTTTGGAAACTAAAAAGTCATGCTAACTGAAGCACTGTTGCTGTTTCCCATCACCACATTTAAGACCACTCCAGAGCTGATGTTTGATGCTGATATCTGTATCCAAACAACTCTGGCTGTGCGCTACTAAATAAAAGCTGATGAAAAACATATGATCTGAGAAAGTAATGGGTTTTCTTCTTCAACAAATGTACACAGTTTGAAAGCCAGGAGCTTTTCAAAGCTTGTGTTGCACAGAGCAAACATCAGCCAGGTGTGTAAATGTGTTGATGGGTGGTGGTGAAAAATGGTTCGCATGCTCAGCAAATTAATTTTCTGGATAAACAAAGGTTTTAAAAAAACTTAGCTGTTGCAACATGCACAGCGCGTAGAAGGCAACAAATCATGTTGACTGACTCATAGCAAAGTTACTATGAGAACTCTGTGCCCTACCGCTAACCCTAGATCATGTATCAGGTTTACGAGGGTTTCACTGTGAGATACTAAAGAGAGCTATGATTAAAGAAAATCAAAGAGTCTGTTTGACACTTCGATTATATCAGCCAGTACCTTAAAAAAGAAACCATGTTTGGCAATGCACTTTACACATCCATAGTGCAGATTTGCTACAGGAAAAACTCAACCATTCATGCTGCAAATTATTGATGTTCGCACTGGTCATTGACATAAGCTTCATGAGTAACTTCACTGTAAGTTTTTACACTGTATGTCTGACTGTAAGCACAGCACCAGAGAGACATAACCACATTTCTGCAAGGTTTACTGATGTAGGCTACAGTAGATTTCATGGTCCAAACATGGGACTGGTTCTGAGTTAGATTTTCATAGTTTTGATCTCTGTCAGAGTGAATGTCAACTCATTGTTTTTTCTCATATGGCATCACAAAAACATTAAAATGGTGCACTCTTGACTCTATTTTTTTTCAAAGCAGTGTTTATAATCTTTGATGTTTTCTTTCTTTCAACTGCGCATTACTCAAACTTTGGCTTGGTGTTTGCAGATGACAGAGTATCCATAGTAACCTTAAAAACATCACACTGCCAGTACTGGACATGAAATATCCAAGAGTAGACCAGAGGTCTTATTACACTGTGTGAAAACACCAGGCTGTCTACAGCCTCTGAGATCAAAATATGTAAAGCGATATGTATACCTAATTCATAAAATCTATGAAAACTGTGATCATATTTTGAACAACTTTTGCTGTTTGTATGCCACAACAAGAGAAGGGTAATAGAATAAGAGAGTTTCCAGTGTGTTACCTGGACAGAGTTGAGTCTGCAGTAGCCATTTAGGGGGAAGCGGATGACGTGCGTGGGGTCCTGGTTCCAGCCAGCGTTGACTGAGTTACACATGACGTCTCCGGTCTCAGGGAAGATCTCCTCGATGAGGACCTTCTCCCCGCTCAGAGCGATCCTTTCACCCAGGTCGGGTGTGACGCGGACTACCAGGCAGTCGCAAGGCTGTGCCATCCGCCGCTGCTCGCGCTCCTGCTTCCAGCGCTCCAGCTCTTTGATCATGGGTGTCAGCTGGTAATAACGCGCCTCCTCGTACAGCAGGTGGAAGTCCTACATAGTCAGAGGAGCAGGGAAATGAGTGCAATTAATTTGCATGTATGTGTGCGGTCCTCTTGGCCGTATGTGTGACTAACAGGCTGAGTTTCACTGCACCACAGTTCATCACCAAGGTCATCCGGACAAAACACTTCACTCTTACAGTTGTGTGCAACACTATGACGACAGCAGAAGTATATTTACAGGGTATCCTGATGGCTTCCTCATAGCAACTAATGACAAAGTGTCCTTGAGCAAGACACTTAACCTCTAATTACTCCTGCAGAGATGTTCAGGCTGCTTCTGCTCTTTGACCCCTTTTCTACAGTCTAATACGAACTGTGTGCTGCAGCATGCATGAGAGAGCTGATGAAAATACTGTAATATCATTCAATGCTTTTGGGAAATATGTTTACATTTGTGATGCAGATAACACTTTAGTCTTTTGTACTGTTTGTCTGTTGAATGAAACCATCACAGAGGAGTGTAAAGGGGTAATAGCACCTTGTTTTTGACCTTTAAACTTGGTATTTAAGCTTCTAACCTGTTCAAATGTTGACTCTTGCACACTTGGTAAGAGAGAGCCTGCTAAATACACCAAATATTAATGTAATCATATGACCTTGCTCTTGTAAAGTGATGAATATCTGACTGACACAAATTTGAGAACAGGGCAGCATTTAATGTCTCACTATCTCGTAAAACATCTTTTGGAGAGAACAATAAACCAGAATTAGTGATGGCCTCCGACCAGCAGGACAACACTCTCCATAAACAAAGCATAGCCATGCTGCAGCTCCTCCACAGTAGCTTTTGGCAGAGCTGTGCTAGCCCTTAGCATGTTTCAGTGAGCCGACTCCAGAAAGGCCGTGAGTAGGGCTCCACTGAAGTGGGATGGTGCATTCCTGTGTGCAGACAGTCTGCAGCAGATTGTCTGCCTCTCCCTCCTGGGCAGGGCTTGCTGGGGGCCATTTGCCCCAGCGCTCTTGCCTCTAATTTCCCACAAGACCAGATGGCACCATCATTCACCGCTACCATAGCAAATACAGAGAGGAGGAGGTTTCGCTATTGGAGGCAGACAGGAGGTGAGGGGAAGATATTTGCAAGTGAACATGAGGACGATCATCATCCGAGGAGCATTTTAATGTATTCCTCACATGGAGGGAGTTTTATGTTAATGAGGATCGTGGCCCGATGTTAAGCTCCTATTAGAACAAGATTTAATTAGGTTACACCTAAATGCAGCTAAACAATCAGTAATTAATAAATCTGTTTTCTGATTAGTGTTTTAAAGTGACAAAGAATGACGGCCTCATTCATTCCCAGTCTACCATTGCTGCCGTTCACAGTTACAATGTGTCTTAGCTAATGGGTATTGTTTCAGTGAATGCACTTACTCAAAACTTACTAACAATAACCGCATGCATCAAAACATATCTAACAGCCACTGCACAGAAAGAGGTGCTGCAAAGCAAAGTCTAAACGCCCTTGAAAAGTGAGACACTGTGTTTGTGATGCGGAAACAACATATGTTTAGTATAGTCTGCATCATTGGTGGTAGTGGGTGTTGGGAGCTGGGGATCTAAAAATGCATTTTCCCCTTCTCTTCTCAGGACCACTGCTGGGTATAGAAACAGAGCATGGCAGCAAACAGCATATTCATTAACCCTGCTGCTTCTGTCAGACTCTTTAGCCTTGAAAAGCCTCCCTCTCTGGTTCACCCCGTCATCTAAGCTGCGCCTTCATCTGAGGCGAGCAAATGACACCCAAATACAACTCCATCTGGACGAGCGTTGACGCAACACATCTTAAGCTGACGGTCTAATATTTAAGATTTCAAAATGTGAAGAAAAGAAGGGGAGTGGGTCCTTTTTTTCCCTTTTTCTCTCCCTTTCTCCCTGTCTTTTTCTCTCCCGGCCCTCTTGCTGCAGCTGACAAAACTCATACTGAGACGCTCCGCTTCAGGCGGCTCTCTGTATCAAAGTGTAGCTCCTCATCCTTCACAGGTCTGAAGCCATGGATGGATATGTTTTTAACAGGGGTCTGTCTGCAAGGCACTTTAGTCATCCTGAGCAGCGCACAAAACAACAGAGTAATCCTAAGCGCTGAGGTGAGGATGAGAGGGAGACGGGGGCCAACAGCTCCGTCCTGGCTGCTGGAGCTGCTGCTACCGCTGCCAGCTCTACGAGACAATTCATCCCCCAATCCTGTGTCCAGACAGCCCATTTGAGCTTCAAAATAATGATCCGACCTGATCGCCCACCGGCAAGGCAACATCTCAGGGAAGGACAGAGGGAGGGAGAGACAGAAAGGGCGGCAGAAAAAGAGTAGAAGAGGAGGAAAGTGATAGAAACTGTCACTATGAGGGAGTCGGAGGACTGGGAAAGAATCGTGTGTTGTGGACGAAAAATGACGAAAGCCGCACAAGAAGACAGGCCACCGAACCAGCCTGCCCTGAACTATCACACAGCAGTGACAAAACATAAAAGATTAAACTCTTTACTGTTATTCTAAAGGATTTGATACCAAAAGAGCCAAATATTATTGATTTAAAGTGCAATAAAAGCCTGACTGCACCGTGACCGAAAGCAGTAACTCATGACGGTTTATATCCATGCCCTTGATATGACTGAGCATTGCTTACACTCTTGTGATTAATTGTAGTTTGAATAATGAGATGAGGGAGGATATTAATAGTGAATATTTTGTTCCACTGATGTAGGCTGAAAAATTTCTTTTCCTATTCTGCTCAGACTTTCACATTGATTTAACAAAACACACAGCGCCGTGGCTGCCAGCAGCAGAACAGAGCCAGCCCTCTGGCGACGGCAAGCCTGATTGTGTTCAGATAAGGACATGCTCAATTCCGCCTCGCACTATTTGCATTTTTTTCCCCGGCTTCACGCAAATTGAAAGGTATGCAGATCAACACGGGCTTATGCGAGGGGATCGTAATGAGTTGAAACAATGAGGTCCAATGCATTTCCTCAACCACTGTGCCTGATTGGACTGTCAAGACTTCACAGAAAAGGGAGGGAAAAAGCATGAATAGGAAGAGAAAAACTAATCGCCACTGAGTCAGGCCATCATTTGCTGAAAATATGCAGCGCTTTCATGTCTTGTTCTGTTGTCTGAGGTTTGGCTCTCGTTCAGACTATCCGTGAGGCCCGGAGAGTTTGCCCCCGGCTCTGTGTGGCTCGGCCTCGCCTTGTTTCCTTGTAGAGAATGATGAACAAACGGCAGCCCGGTGGAAAGGTCACGCAAGTTAAGGTGGAGTAGAAGCAAAGAATAGAATACACCTAGGAAGGAGCAGCACTGAATAAAACCTTGAACATGACGGAGCTGAAGGCAGAATATGTAATGACTCTAACAAAGCCACTCCAGTTGTGTGGACACCTCTGTGCCGCGTGACTAACCTGCTGGTAAAACCTTAAGATTGGTTATAATCTGCACTAACCATATTTCTATTTCATCAATAGGTTAACTGACTTTGTGTAATCTTAAAGGCACGTCCTGTAGAGACGCACAATTAGAGAGTAATCCAGTTTAGTCTGACAGAAATACTGCATTACTTTGAGGCAACATGTTGAGTGTTGTTGTGAAATAGTCATCATTTGGTCAGATTTAGGTACCAAAACTATTCAGATAAGATTTTCATATGAAGCTATTGATACATTGAGTACGTAAAAAGTAAGACGCAAAAGTGACTTATTTTAGCAATCTCTATATAATGGCACTGCTTTGTGTCACTATGTTTGGCGAAGATTATCGCAGAAATATAAAAAATCATGAGCCAAACAGCGACTTACATGAATTTATACTGTTATTGTGTCTATGCTATGGGCACTTCATTTACCAGAGACCAGATTTACCAAACAAGGTGTTTGGAGGTCATGGTCCTTTTTATGAGTAATCTTTGAAGGCCGTCTTGCCTGTATTGGGTAGCCATCAGAAGAGAGATAGCATATGGGCATAGAGAGTAGGGGATATGCTTTGATCATGATAGTTGTGTCTCTATATGCTGTACATTTGTTAACAACTAGGGCTGCAATTGTTTGATTTCTTATGTGAAACACGGTTTGAATCACTGTTTTTATCTTATATTTAGGTAGAGGCCAGAAATGTGACTTTAAAGTAGGGCTGTGACAACATACACTTAAATGAATGCCATCTTTTAAATCAAAAACAAGATATTGATATTGAGCTTTAAAAAAAGTGTAATACTGTGTAAGTAGTTGGGAGGCATTGCTAGTTTCCCACATGCCATAAAAGAGAGGGAAGAAGAAGCAGAAGAAGAAGAAGAAGAAGAAGAAGAAGTAGCTTCTCGCCAGCTAACCGTAGCAGCCCTCCAAAAAATGTTCAGGCACTTTAAAAACTGATGTTCAAAGATTTATTTCAAATTAAAAAACAACTAAAGAGTTTGTGCCTCTTTGGTACTTTACACTTTCTGATCTTTCTAATCTTTGTTCTTAGTTTTGTCACTTGGAGAAAAAAAAAAGAAGCAGTTTAAAGGCTAGACAGTAAAGCTGTCAAAATTAAAGCATCACTAACAACCGTTTTATGAGGCCGTCTCTTCTCTAGAGGTTTCTGTCACAAGACTGTTGAGCAAAGTTCATTAAGTAACACTTTTCTACCCTTCTTAAATTTCTTTGACGGCATTTTTCCAAGTTTTTCAAAGATATTGTGATAATAAAATTTTTTGGGTGGCCTTGGTAATCATAAAGTGAAAATATCATATAACGGCAGCTCAACTTCAGAGTAATGCAAATTATAATCTGCGTCTGATAAATCTGCTACACATTCTCCAACATTTTAAACACGTAAATATCTTTATTTTTAATTACTTAAATGGAAAGTCGCTGTTTACTCGAGAATGAACTTGAACATTACTCATAATACAAAAACCAAATAAATATAAATGTCTGATCAGTGGCACATGTTTTTCAGTTAAATCCTCTCTACACTTAGATGATAATGGACATTACACTCTCTCTCTTGGTCCAGGATTAACTCCTCCAGACCCCTAAACATGAATAGTCGCAGTTATTTATAATGACCACGGCACATATATAGAGTCTACATGGATACCATTTTTACTGGGGCATGTTTGTGAGTATTAAACTGCAGAAACATGCTGGGTGCTGCTCTCCCTGTGGATGCCAGAGAGACTCTCTCTCTGTGTTGGAGTTGGCCATCAGAGTGCTGTGGATCATAGGGGAGTGCAGGCTATTTCACCTGGGCTCACCTCTTTACAAACTACTCTGGGTGAAAAACAACAGCTCAGGGCTTTGGCACACACATCACCAGGCCGTGCTCCAGTTAGCCAGTTAGCATTTTACCTCCACGCCACTGCCATCGCAGTGTGCTCCATATTTCAAAGTTTCTTAATTACTCGTCCTGCTTACACTACAGGTAATTAATGTGTTGAATAAGAGGAGGGGGAGTCCATGTGAGGCATTGTGAGAACAGAAATCTCTAGTGGTTTTATTTTGAAAACATCCAACCCCTGAGAGGACAGAAAACATGAATAAACACTAACATATTCACACTTTGGAGTATTATCTGGAGAAAAATCTGGAGTTTCACACACAAAGCTACAGTGTCTCTACACAGATGGCTTTATGTACCCAAGTTTTTTTTTTATTATGTTGTGATGTTGCTCAGGCTGTGTGAGCTGATGGTGCACACAATACAGTATGTTGTGTTGCAGATATGTACCTTGAAGTCATCTGGAAGGAGCAATTTGCTGGTCCTGAGGAAACTGAGAATGTAGCGGAATATCTCGCCGTCCCGATCTATGAAGTAGTGCTGCTTCAAGCTGTCCAACACGATGGGCTCGGTGCCATTGAACAGACGACTGATTCTGAAAATTGAAATACACACAAACACGCACGCACACACACAGGAAGCCATGCGCACACACACACACATACACACACAAAATGGAATGAGCCAGCTCCCTTCAAATGCATGAAACAATTACCCTCCATTTATTTTTCAATTTTATTAGCACTAAGCTTGAAATGCATTAGCATCCCAGGTTGAAACAAGGGGCTTAAGGCATCGTTCCTCCATTCCAGACTTGTTTGAAGTGTCCCTTCTGCAGAAAGATTATAACAACACACACACGCTCGCTGCTTGTACTTACAGAAATTAATGGCATGAATGTAGCATTACAGCTCTATTATTCCATCTGTCAGAGGGCTGGAAATGAAACAGAGGTAGGAAACGGTGGAGGGAGGGCTACATACTAATGTGAGGAGGACATCTGGAGAAAATGTTTTACTTTTTCTGTTTGATTTTGTTATGAATGTTGGAGGGATTTGGACAGCTGCAGCCCTACTGTATGCCATACTTAAAACACAGTTATAGTTTGTGGTTATTTCTACCACATGCTCTGTATTTGGTTCATATGAATCACAGTCTGCCAACATTATATGCTCTAATTATAAAGGTTTGTGTGAAGACAAATACATCTAGTCTGACACTGTGCTAACTTTATGAAATTACTTCTTTCATCTCAAACAATCAATAACTCTTACCCCAGTCAGGCACATGTTTTTTAAACGACTTTTCAAATGTCTGTTTGTTGTTAAGGACCCACTTTTCAGGACCAGACATGTCTCTACATCATCGTGTCATCCTAAGAAATGTGTTGAATTTCATTTTGGTGTGGTGGGCTCTAATTTTAATGACTAACGAGGTCCATATTTAAAAGAAAAGCAAAGACGAGTGAACAAAGAAGGAAACTACGGCTGAACAAAAATATATGACAGTAATTTTCTCCTAAAAGGAAGACAACAATTGATTTAACACCAACATCAGACGCATGTGTTTGAGCTGTTTGCAAATACTGACACTTAAATAAAGACACTTGTTGCTGCCTGTAAAGTCCCACTTTTAACTCTTTCACGACCTTACTGTAAGATTGAGGGTCTTGCTCTACATTGGCTACGGGGGCTCATCACAGCAAAGAGTGGAAATTGCTGTTATCTTTAAACATTGATCACTCCACATCCCCCGCTGCGCCTCCAGATATCCTTGGACAGATATTCATTTCCTCTTGTCTTTATGCGGTTTTCCTGTCATTTACCTGCAGGTCCCTCCTTCTCGCTTGTTGAAGAGCTTAATCGCGGCACCTCCACTCTATCTGTTTGTTCATTTGCACATGCTAAATATCCCTGATGAATTATTAAAGATACTTTCGGAGCATTCCTAAAATATTAAAGCCACAGTGGAGTGTTTGTTCAACTCCGAAAAGCTTCATTAATGTAACTTTACTACACTTACTTTTTGCTTTAATTTCGTGGCTTATCCTGAAACTGGATTTACATCCCCCTCAGCAGAGAAACTAGGACTGCCTGTGTACTGCAAACAAGTTTTAGCAGTGATTTACAGAAGAAATGTGTTGAACGAAAAACCTCCTGAACAGTTTTGCTGCACATCTCTGCCGTCTTCCTGCAGAAACAGCTCTTGGCGGGGCGCTGCATCGCTGCTGCTATCATCATTATATTGATGCAATCAGCTCTTTAAATACAGTAACAGCTTCTTTGGCGACTGACAAAGTTGTATGACAAAGAAAATTGTGAAACCTATTTGCAAACCGACACACACAAACACACACACACACATGCAGCACCGCCTGAGCACCGGCATTGTCAAACTCTATTAGAGGACAGACTGAGAGAGCCGCAGAGGGAATGTCAATGAAGAAACAGCAGGGCCGGCTCACACACACACAAACACACAAACACACACACACACAGACTCATTTCACTGGATTTACAGTTACAACACGGCTTTTTGTCAAAGTGCGAGAGCTTGTGTTTAAAGCTCATATCAGGTATCTCCTGACCCCGCTGTATCGGCTCAACACACTGACGCTCTCGTGTCAAACCCACCCTGTTCCTCTCTCTTTGACTTGACTGTGTGAAGAAGCTGAGCAAAGATGGCTCTTCCTCCCTCCCTCCCTCGCCCCCCGCCATCCTTCCTCTCTTTCTGTCTTTCTTTCTTTCTCTTTTTCTTTCTTTCTTTCCCTCCCTGTCTCCATCCTTCTCCCTTACTCGCTTTCTCTCTGGAAATCGATGCAAAATGCTTTATAAAAAACCAATACTCATCTCCCTGTTTCGCCCGAGGTGTTCCTTTCTCATATGGTCTTGCAATTCTTCCAGCTAGAATTTCACCATACCCCTCCAGGCTAACTCTGTTTTTCATCTCCACTTTTTTAAAAAGCAATTAAAATGCTGCCTGTTTTTCTTTTTCTTTCCCTCTCTTCTGCTCCCTTCACTCTCTCTCTCTCTCTCTCTCTCTCCCTCTTTCTCTGTTGGTCTTCTCTCTTTTTTTTCTTTTTCACTTTCTGTTGAATCCCTGAATTGAAGGGGTGGGGGTGTTTTTAACAGGTAGGGAGAGAGATGAGGGTGAGCGTGTGTGTGTGTGTGGAGGGGGGGATATGTGGAAAATTAAAAGAGAAGATACATAAACAGAAGGGCCTAAAGACAAAGAGAGAGAAGAAAGAGCAGAGATAAAGGAGAAAAGACAAATCAGTAGAGGACTAAAGTAAAACCGACTGTGATTGGAAGACAGAGAGAGATGGAGAGTAGGAGAAAAGCAGCCATGACAGAGCTCCATAGAAAGACAGAGAGTGAAAGGTTTAGGGAGAGGGGGAGGTGGTGGGTGTGGGAGGTTACCAAGGACAGGAACAGCTCAGATCTCCCACCCCAGCCCTGCCAAGTGAGGGCAGGCAGCAGGGCAAGGGAGGTGGGCAATATCTGGCAGGGATGCTCTCTGCAGCAGCAGCAGCAGCAGCCACAGTGGCTCCGAGCTGCTGGAGATACGTGTCTTTAGGAGGCGGCAGGGGAGGGGGACGCAGCGCAGGTATCTGTGATCGTATTACAACAGATCTAATACTGACAGAGGACTAATAAATACAGGACACACAGCAGATCCCTGCAGAGTCCAACCAACACAGCCAGCGATCTCTGACCAGCTTGTTGTTAAAATGTACGTTTTAAGTGAGGAGGGAGCCTGGCGTTTAACAGCAGACTCTTATCTGATTGGCTGAGACCTTTCTGAAGCTGTAAGAGGTCAGAATAATCCTCCTCCATGAATGAATGAATGACAGGTGGTAAAATCTGGCATTTTTATTTTTATTTAAAACTGTTTAATCAGGCTTTAGAGTAACACTTTATTAATTTTTAAAAAATTGCAAATAATATGCAGTAAACAATATTTTTACAGTTCAGTTTTAGAGATTTAGAAATGAAAAATGATCAAATTTGCAGGTTTTTGGCACCTTGCCTTAGAGGAACAGTGTTTTCTCTTTCTGAGATTGAAATGTCTTTAAATTTAATCTGTTGGTTTGACAAAAGTATCAATTTAAATATGTGCATGTGATCAAATAACTGATTGATTGTGAACGTAATTCACAGATTAACTGATTGCAAATTGGCAAGAGCATTAGACCACTATGAAAAAAACGGAGGCTTAAGTCATAATATTTCAAGAACAAAGTTATAGATTTATGAGTAAAAAGTCGTAATCGGAGGTTAGCCGATCAGCTGCTTTGAAGGGACGGATCAGAGGAACAGCCTGAAGCCATCTGATCTAAATCGAGAACCATGGAGCATTCTTTGAACTTATACTTTAATATAAATATCATAAGAATTAAACATTTCATCTTTCAGCACATCAGCACCATGGTGTCATCAGTATACTGAGCTGATTGTGTGACAAACTGAGTCTGTTATAAAGGCAAGAAAGCTAGCAGGTAGCTTGCGCTCAATTCTGCAACCAAACCAAAACCTGTAATTACGACTTCTGTCTCTTAAAATTACATCCTTATTATAAGATGAGGACTTTAAATCCTGTTATATTGTAACTTTGCTCTAGTAAGAAACAACTTAATTCTTTTATATCATGACTGTAAACTCAAGAGATTTCCACTTTCATCTCTTAATACTATAACTTTATTCTTCCAATATTAAAATCTCATACAAATTCAACCTCATAATAGAACAACTTCATATTTTCACAACCTTAAAATTCTGATATTCTGACTTCTGACTTTATGAGCCTAAATTTAAAAATCTACTCTCTAATCTTCTGGTTGTGGTCGAACATTAGTTCACAATGTGTATTTCTATGACATAAAGCTCCACACAGACAATTACATTAACTTTACATGTTTTGTTTACATGAAGTGATAATATTGGTCACAGTATTTCAAGAGCTATTCTGTTAAAAAACATAATAATACCAGGATACCATACCATATAAATAATCAGTTATATAATTTGACTATTTGTGTGAAGGTACAACAATTTATTTACTCCATAATTTCATGTTTACTGTTTTAAGAAAGAAGTCAAGCAGCTGCCTTAACTTCAAGATAACTAAAAAGTTTCAAGTGGCATAAAAGACTCCTAAACCGTCTTCAAAATCTGGATCGTACAACCACACCACTGACCAATTGACTCAACTACAGTTTGGCTCCTGGGTCTGATTTTGCAAGTGTATTAAACATGACGATATTTTTCAATTTTTGCTCATTTGATTGTCCTAACATACACACAGTCTTTGTTTTTTGGTGTTGATATCTGACTTCATAGTAGGGCTAAATACTGAAATTTACGACAATAACCATTTTGCCCATATTGGTTTATTCTGTGTCAAAAAAATAAATAAATAAAAGTTGTTTTTGGATGTAGGCTATGGTCTCATGTTCTTTTAAGACTCTGTCCTACGTCATCTAGTCCGTGATAAAGAGCGAAAGACAGGTGAGGAGATGAAGGACGGTTCAAAAGTTGTAGCGGCTGAAGTAGACAAAGTTAATGTGGGAGGGGGTGAGCAGCTTGTGAAGTAGTTATTGTCCATTTAACATTATCGAGGTGAACTGCTCAATATATCGTGATATTGATTTGACGCCATATCACCCAGCCCTACTTCCTAGAGAAGAAACTAAAAATTTTCCTTCATGTTTGAGCCGATTCAGTCGAGGTTTTTTCGTAGACCAACATTTCCCAAACATATTTGCACAAAGTCAAGTATTTTGAGATTAAAGTGAGTCTTCAGTGCATGCATTCTTGCTTTACAGTTCTTTGTTATGAACTTTTTGTTTCAGTCTGCACGCCCATGGGGGTTTTGTCATATGCTTTGGTTGTATAAGGGTTACAGGGCCCAAAACACCCAAGGCCGTGTTAACAACAGCAGAAAGGTCTCGAACAGTGAAACCAAATCCAAACAAAAGTTGACAAGAATAATATTTCAAACTGAGATTTAGTAAGTAGTTGGATTTTGTTTGCCCTGTTAAAGGTGATGGTTTCAGCTGGCAGAAAGTGAAGCTATAAGAAGTAGGGGAACTCTAAATGAAGGAGCATGAAGTCAGTGAAGATCTATCGTCTCTGGACACAGAGGCTCGTCTTCAAAGAGAAAAATGTCCAGTGGTCCTTTCAAAATAGTTTCCTTGTCTGTGGAACATTTCCCCCTAATTTCCTCAGCTTCTGTTCAAGTGACTACTGCGACTGTCCTCTGTGAGAGCCACACAGAGCCAGCATCAATGTTTCATGACCCCTGTCCCTTAATATGGCCCGCACAGAGGAAGATGAATCACCACACATTAGTTACTAGACTAACTTTCTCTTGGCACGCTGCATTATTTAGGGGACAATCTATTAAAAGTAATCATCGACTTTAAACTCTTTAACCCTGCTCTTTTTAGCCGTCACGTTTTTCGATGTTGTGTCAGCGTGCCCTGCTTTGGGAGGACGTGGCCGAAACACGGCGTATATGCGGCGATGCCAGTGTAATTGTTTTGCTTTCTGCTGTCAGCCATTATCCTAATTCACACAAAAGGGCCCCTCCTTACACTGGCTCCAGCGGAAAGTGGAGCCCCGAGGCCAACTGTACACTGAGGAGGCTGAGAGAAAGAGAGAAACAGTGAGTGTATGCATGTGTGTGTGTGTGTGTGATTCAGAGTGAGAAAGGAACAGAAAGAGACGGAGAGAGAGATAGAGAGAGGGAGCAAAGGAGCATGTGTGAAAAAGAAAAAGAGAGAGAGAGAGGACAGAGAGAGGGAGAGCACTCCAACCAACGCTCACACTGGTATCCGCTCTGTACTCTCACTGTAGAAACACTGTTTGCTGCTCTGACATGACTCTCTGCTCCATTTACATGCTGCCCTGTGTGTGTCCCTCTATGAATATAGCCCTGTGAAGTGTAAAGCTGCACAAATACAGATACACAATAGTGATTCCCAAATCCTTAGTAAGAATTACTCTTTAAACAGCAGGTTAAAACCATCTTTGAACGTGTTTTGAAGCAGAAGAAAATTGACTCCAACAGCTTTGAAAAATCTGATTTAAAAAAAAAATAACACTGGCTTGTTTGATTGAAGAAAAATGTTGAAACGTAACACAGCACCAACAAAGTGAGCAGAAAAAAATCATCTTAATATCAGAGAGCCTCGTCTAAGAGCAGCCTCAGTTTCTCATGACGTGTTAGACTCAGGAATAAAAGCAGAGCTGTCAGGGATTTCCTGTCAGCGGACTCCAACAATATCAAGACTTTATTACCCTGGGATTATGTGGATTGTTTCCTGTAGCCAATTTGGCAGATTTTCTAACAACCTGGTGAATGTTTACCTTGGCCCACATGGGACTCTGTCAGCAACGCACAATCGAAGACTGTATAATGTCATGAATAACAGTGCGTTTGAAAAGAAGAATCTACAAAATGGGAGAAATTCAGAACAGAGACGTTCCTGCGTTTCTTTATCAGAGGTGTGTTTGTTTTCCAGCAGAGCTACCTGCGGTGGTGTCATCCTGTTTGTGGAAGGAGCTAAAAACGTGAATAAAGTGGGAGGGCGGATTAAATAAAAACAGCTCTTACACAATCTGAATCATGATGACTAAAGTTGCAAAGGATGTGCAACAAAAATAAAATACCTGTTTGCTCTGCGTGAGAGAGCAGGAGTCCCTCTTAGCTCAAGTTAAACTGCACCATAAACTGTTTCAGAAAAATATTATACTTTTTCTCTAAAATGAAGAGCAGAAAAAAAGAGTTTAATGCATGTTTTTCTAAAGCCACATCTCGGATCATAAATAGTGGATTAAATCAGAGCTGATGGTGGTTTTCAAATTTCACAAAAGTCATAAAATCAATATGTGACACATAATTTTACTAGTTTTGGGCAGATATGCCCCACTTAGGCTGGAATCTGAGCATTTGCGTCAGTATTTTTCGTCCAAGCTCTCCCTCTGAACGACTGACCAAAAAGAGAAAAAAAAAAAGATGGTGTGAAAGTGGGTGTAGTGCACACAGAAATGTTTGTGTGATGTGTAAATCCACACCAGCATTTAAATCAGCATCTGAGCGCTACAGCACTCTTTGCAGCTTGACAGCAGCTGAATTTTCAAATAGTGTGAGAGCAGATAACGAAATAAAAGCCCCCCGAGGTATTTATTAAACAATTAAAATAATCAGGACCGAAACAAACAAAACAATCAAATTGATCACTTTGAAAGCTATGCCAGAGAAATCATAATGACTGAAGACAAACGTCACCACATGCTCTGAAAAGATATTAGCAGTTGTCAGTGAGGAAGTTGTGTTGATGTTGTCCTGATGCCAGCCAGCTAAATGGCTTGTTAACATTAAAAATCCAATTAAGAGAAGCAGCAGTCATATAACGACAGAGTGGATTTAATGACTGAAATGTTTTGATAAGCTAATAAATAGAGATGTCAGCTGATCATAATTGAAGATTTAATTAGAAACTTCGCTTTATAATGAAAAAGGTCACTAAATAAATAACTCCCTCACATTTAGATCAAAAGCAGCAAGATGTAAATCCAACTAATCTCCTGCAAACCTTAAGAAAAATCCCACAATACTGACTTTTTTATTCATAAAATAAATCAGGTTATATATTTACTCATGCAGCAAGGTCCAAGCATGTGTCTTACCTTGAGTCCGGGAACTTGGTGAGTGTCGCCAGGCTGCTGGTGTACATGTGTCCCCCGACGTCGATGTGCACCGGGGCGTTCGCCTTGGTCAGCTGAGCCGGCAGAGGGATCCCCTGAGCGGCCAGGGGAGAGACCGGGGACCGGGTCAGAGACAGCCGTGACATGCTTCTTCCCTCCTGAAAGCAAGTGTAGAGAAAAGCCATGGGAATCAAACTAAAGAAGAATAAAGGGGAAAAAAGAACACACAGAGTGATCCTACACAGGGAAGCAGGTAGTTTCCTCTCTGGGTGCTATCAGATCACTTCCATGTCTGTCTGGTCGCATATTTAGCCTGGAAATTATTGCCACCGCTCTAATTAAGTATGTTTGCATCTTTTCATGCAGCACCGGAGGCGAGGATAGGAGGATGCTTATTAGAGAGAGAGAGCGAGCGAGAGAGAGAGAGAGAAGGAGAAAGAGAGATGGACAGACAGATAGAAAGACAGAGAGAGAGAGAGAGAGAAAGAGGGGGAGGAAGAGAAGAAGAGAAGGAGGAATGCTAGGTGTCAGCCTCCAGGGGAATAAAACAAACTGCTGCTGCAATATTCTAATTAAAGGTCGCCTTATGTGTTAGACGTGATGCGCCCAGACACACCAAGCACCAATCTGAGAGCAAGGAAAACACGAAGCGTGGAGGGGGGAGGAGGGGGAGAAGGAGGCGAGGGGGGCAACTTTTCGTCTTAGCCCACACATTCAAAACAAAAGAAGGTGATGGCTTGTCGTGTACTTACTTATTGCACTATTGGCACACCAGAAAGAACACGAATCACGCGTAAAAATCTGATTTCAGAAAGAGCAGGTTTCATGTAGCTTTGGAAAAAGAAATCATGAATTGCGCAGAAGTTTTTGGGGCGAAGATTATAGGGAGATTTCGGGGGGCACCCTGAGGTCACAGAGCTGAGTCTGTCTAGCTGTAAAAATATAGAAGAAAATCCACTTGGTTATGTTGCCATTTGATTCTCGAGCGTAAATATCCAGCTCACTGTGCGTAATTTGTTTTGCCAACAGCAGCAGGTAAACCACCTCATCTCAGACCGGGCACATGCCAGTGTTACTCTTTCTTGTATAAATGATAGAAGTAGAAGGCCTATATATATAATTATATTTTTACAAATACTGGGAATGATCTACAACAAGAGAACGAATCCAAGTGTTTTTAAACTTTAACAAGACCTTTCTTGTTGTCTGGCACTTACGCATGACGACCCCTGACAGTGATGCGCAGTTTCCCCCTCAGGCTTTACGCCAAATAAAGACATTTGGTAAAAATCCCCCCAAACTTTGATTCATATCCACAATTCCACAATCTATTCATATGGATTTAAAGTCACTAGATAAAAAGAAACATCACACTCAAGAAAACTCAAGTTATTTTGCGCATAGTGTCAGTTTTACTGTCAGCACTGGTGAACTGAAGGCCTCAGTGAAAGTCCGGATCAGTTCCCCGGCCCTGAGAGAAGAGCCCGCTGGGTACAAAAAGAGACTGAAGCTTTTTTTTTCACACGGTGTTTCCCGCCTCACAGCAGTATCGTGTTCGTTTAATACGATTACAGGAGGACGGGATTACATTTCAAATCCCAGGAAAGAGGAAAAAACTTGGAAGGACTTGAGAAGTTTAGGGTTCATAGAGCTGCCCTACTGCCGGTGACACACACACACACACTCACCCTTACACACTTAAACACACACACGCCAACAGACTCCCTCTCCACATCTCTCTCTCTCTTTCCCCCAACCAACCAATCAATTAACAAATTAAATTAAGATGTTCATGGACAGATGAAAAGGCACATATGGTACAAAACGGACTCATAAATCTTTGGTTTCGCCAAATCAATCACAGATTTTCAGTCAGCTCAACTTTCTGTGTCTTATAAACCCCCTTTCTCTCTCTGTGCCCCCCCTCACACACAACAAACACACACGCACACACACACACACACACACACACACACACACACACACACACACACACACACATGCCATGTATGATAAATTCCTCCACAAAACCACAGCCGCTGTAGAGACATCAACTTTCTCCTGCCTCCCTCACCTCGTCATGTTCAAGCGTTGAAGCCCATCCCAAACTCATGAAATCCTCATAAATGACCCCCGTAATCTAAAATAAAGATAACCACATAACCAAAACGTTTGGGTAGAAACAAAACCCCCGATGCTACATCCTGCTGTACACGGCCACTACAAGCCTGCGCTCTGCCTTTTAATTCTACCAAATGCTCAATATGGCGTCTTATTCCTGCGGTGCAATTAAAAGCATAATCCCAACACGTGTAATTCGCCTTCCGCTAAAAATCCACACATGTGCGGTCCACTTCTGTAGCATTTACGAAAACCTCACTTTGAATCGAGCTGTATTCGCGTTACTCTTTTCCTGTTCGACTAGACTCATTGAAAACTGCCCAGATTGAGCCTGCTCTGTCTGTGCGTAAAAATAAAGCATTCTGTAAAGATAAATTCGCCACCCTACCGTTTCAAACATTGTAAGGAGTCCAGAGGAAATCCGTGCCGGCGGTCAGTCCCAGCTGCTGTCCGCGTAACCCCCGAAAAATTCAAATAATATCTCCCCGAGTTTGAGGTACAACTACAGCAGCATCCAGCTCCAGCACGGATCTACTATACTGTCCCTACTGCCGCACGGTACAGCCAAGTCTCTGCTCTGTATCCCGAACTAAACTGCTTTTAAAAGACACTACAAGGCTGCGGCCGGGATGGACTGCCTGTAAAGAGTCTCTGTGGCTTTAAAGGCTCTATGGCAAGGCTGCCTCGACCTGTCCTCAGCGAGCTTCTTTGTACCAAAGCGCACAGGAAGCGTCCTTACCTTGTACATAGATGAGATGATCTCCTTCCCCTTCTGTGCTCTTATTTGGATACGCGTAAAAATGTGCGCTCTTGTTGGAATCCTGCTTCGTATTTCGGCTTCTTGTCTGCTTTTTTGCCTAAATGAAACTGCCCCTGTGGTTTGTTATGAGAAGAAGAAAGCCAATAATCCGTCTCTAAATAACAGAGCAGAGCTAAAAAAGAAAATTCTCGCTCCGGGCTGCCCAAGCGCCTCTGGGCCAGGGATTAGGCTACAATTAGCTCAACTCCACTCTCTCGCCCAGGCAATTTTCTCAAGGAAGAAAACGTGATACCCCTCTACTCCCGAAATTATGACTGTACAGATTTAATAACTTATCTTATTTTCTTTTTTCCCCCTGTGAAAGTAGATCGTTGTGAAGTTGTGATTTAAAGGGGGTTAAGGAAACCTAACCGGCAACTGTTAGTCGCTCAATAGATTTAAAGCAGCAAAAAGCAGATTTTAATCATTGTCACTTCGTCTGATGTAACAGCTCCCCAGGCAGTTCCAGCTAGTAGGCACACATTTCCATCTCCATCTCCAGTCTGAATGTAAAGTTTTCAAACCAGGCGAGCTGCCATAGTCCTCCACTCAGGCTACATGCAATAAAGGCGCAGTAACTTGTTGATAAAGTCCCGGCAGGAAAAATATGTAGAAAATGAAGAGATATCCTTGAACCAATATCTTTTTTCATGCGGTGATTTTTCCCCCTGTGTCCCCGCTCCCTCTGTCTCTCCCTCTCTCTCCCTCTCTTTCTCTCTTGCCTTAATGTCTGGAGTTGTAACGCCAAATTTCCTGCAGGCCATTAAAATCAAATGACGTCCGTGGACATGCATGCATGCTGCTGCAGAAAGCGCCCTCACAACCTGCCTGCAGCCAAATGCGCCATTTCAATTATAGCGCAGGGCTTAGATGGAGATATCTGCCGAGAACACCCCCCTCCTCCTCACCCTCCTCCCCTCACTCTCCAGTGAAAGCAAAAAAGCCTCCAGACTTTTTTTTTTTTTTTTTGGAAAATAAGATTTTGGGCCGATCATTGTGATTTTTTTTCAACATGTAAAGACACAATGCAAAGTAGTGAGGGGCCAAAAAGTGGTGCGCCAGTTTTTGACGCCGAGAGAAAAGGAAGTGAGGAGTCAAGCAGGTGCTCACACCAAAGAGATGATTATTTATTTATTTGCATGTTTGTTTATTTGCGGGTAAATAACTGTGAATAATTGATGCAACATTGAGCCCAGTAATTACTCTGGAACAGCATCCTGACAGGGGTGCAGGATCGTTTCTTGATATTTGGCGCCAACCAGTGTAGAAACTTAATATTGGTCCACTAAGATACTTTAAGGGAGCTCTTTCAATTATCAGTAAATACGTACATAAATGATTTTCCAATGTTTTCTAAGCACTTTAAATATTATTGTTTTCTTTCAATCAAAATAAAACATCTTTATAAACTAACTTGTGCTTTAACAAGTTCTAGAAACTTTCAATTGCTTTTTAGAGTCAAATATAACACATTCAGACAGAAAAGCAAAGCAAAGCATGAGATCTGACAGCAGAGCTAATAGGAGTGTGAAGATGCGTCTCTCCTTGAAGCTAACTCTCCCTCATAATTAGACAGCCCTGCGCGCGCCTCTCAGCGCTCCCATCGTCCCCTCTGGCTCAGATTTGTTGTTTCCAGAGGTACAAAACTGGAGGGGAAACTGGATTTTTTTTTCTCATTAAAGGAAACAAGCCCGGAGTGAGTTCAATTACATGAAGTATGCAGGGATGTTGTAAATTTAAAGATTTAAATAGCTTACAAAGTGGCCCCGGGCCCCATCAGTTAATTTCCTTAATTTATGGATTTTTGCGGAGTGTCTATGTGGAAGAGGAGAAGTAGGTCATCTTCAGGGTTTGAGGGAGGCTCTGAGATTTCAAGACAGATACAAACATCTGACCTTTTAGGCCGACAAACACCTAAACAGGTGAAAAAGGACACTGTGAGCTCTTTTATTCCATTCAAACACATAGTGAAGTAGTTTTGTTTAAACACACAACAACAGTCCACTCTTAGTTTGCTGCATTCATTTCACTTGCCAACAATAGGAGCGGTTATCTGGATGTTTGCTCTTTTTCATTGTTTTGTTTTGGGAAATTGACACTCTGAAAACTATTGACTGTAATTAAGATAATAAGATAATCAACCTCCAACCCCTCCCACTGCACAGATGTGAAGCCAAAATACAGCCCGGCCTATTGTGGTGTTAGAGCCAAAACATGTACATAAGAGATCTGGCTGGTGGAGCCCTCAGACTGACATCACACCCCTCTGCTTTTAGGATTTGGATGAAAACTGTCTAAGAGCTAACTAACCAATTTTCAGCCTGGAAATAAAGCTTTCACAACACTTAGTCTCAGAGCACAATCATGTCTTTTAATTCGAAGCCGGTGATTGTGAGCCGTTTACATTATGAGGAGTAAAAGGAAGACACTTATGTTCTCTTCCAGGTCACACATGGACCCCAGGAAGGGGTCACATCTTTTCTTTTGATGGTGACTGTAAAACTCTGCTCACTTTTACAAATGTTTTAACTGCAATATTTATGTCACATGTATCAGGCCTTCAGATTGGTAAAAGAGCCAAACAGAATCACAGATTGGGACAATGAAAATGGGCTCAACTGTAAATAAAAGCAATATGGTGAAATTACCGAAATGTGGTGTGATTGATGAAAAAAAAGAAGTTTCACCAACCAATCTATTTTTCTATGAGTTTTGTGGCACCTTAACTTAATAGACAGATGGGAGCTATACTGAGAGTGTCAATCAACAGACCATATTTCCACAGCAGCCATCTTTTTATGATGTCACACTCAGGGTGGAAATCTGGTGATTGTGTATTGTCATGGCGTTCCTGATTGAAAGACGTTTAAATCTCAATAATCTGTAAAACTGAGGTCATTTTACAGCTCCCTGATTCAACTTCAGCCACACAAACTATTGAAAGTGAAAATCAGGACAGAGATCTTGTCATATTTTAAGTTAAACATAATTATTAGTTGAGAAAATTTTCTCTTGAGGATTATCATGTAAAATATCACAATAAAGATTTTATCATGACATGTAAGACTTGAAATAAAAAAAGAACACTAAGTAAAACTGAGAACAGTTAAGATAAGGACAACACAAATACATTTTACTAATAAACATAGATAAGTCACATCATCATCCATTTCTAACCCTGTTCACATTTGGATTTTTCTTTAACTGAAACTTTTTTAAAGAAGACATTGACTCTCAAAATGAATGTTTGTCATGAATTTATTTTGGTATTTTTTTCTGTCTTGCATTTAGGCTTTTTTAAACATTTTAAAATAATGCTTTTATTTTGAAGAATGAGCTTCTTCTGGTAGATGAAAGTTAAAGGGCTGAATGAAAACAATTAAAAGAACATTTAGAAAGTGGCACAGGCTCCAATGTTGCATCTGGGTTTACAAAAGTTTTTAAAGTGGCTCATCATCTCTGAGAGAGCTGCTCACAGCTAGTTTACCGACAGTCTGCTGCTTCTTTTTTGTTTCTCCACTCTTCTTAAAGCGTGTGGAAACCAGCACTCAGGACCTCAGCTATGAATACAAAATATTACTGTTTGCTTATTTTTAGAACAACATGAACCTTAAGTATTGTATATTAATAAAGGCATTTACCATCAATACATTTATTGTGAATTCGTACTAAATAAATAAAGATTAACTGGTTGTTTGATCATCCTTTATTGCAGACAGTCACCAGGGGGAGCTCCTCTAATGTTTTGGCCTCACTTACGTTAGCTGTTGTGCTGTTCATGTTTGATACAATCCCTCTGAGGGATCAACACATTCAGCTCTTTTCTTTTTTTCAGTTTGGTTAAAAATGTTGGGTCAAAGTTGAGATATAGTTCCATCTGCTGGATAGCATCAACACTTTACGTGAACCATTAGACTGAATGACTGGATTTTACGGCTGATTAGCACTTTTACTCAGGAGCAAATTTCCCCTAAAGATGATTGATTTCTGATGTACAAGGTTTCAGCCGGGCTTATGTTTCATGTTTTAAAGCCTTCAAGAGTCCCCTTGTTTTAGATTTCTATCCTGATACATAGAGTCCAGGTCACCTGCACACTGTACATGTACACTGAGGTAAAAAGAGTGGAAACAATACAGTCACAGTTTCTCCTCTGTGCGGGCATTTGCAAGAATCTCTTTCAAGCTTTGCTCATCAGATCAACACTCCTGCTCCCGCCTCCGGCATGTGGGGGAAAGTTTGAAAAGAACATTCAGAACTCGCTTTTAGTAATCTGCATGCCTCGTGGAGCCCGGCTGCTGTCAATCGCTCCAGTCTTCAAGCCATTTGACATTCTGCTTGAAGTTGGTGTGTGTCTGAGGTGCAGCAGCGACACTTATTGTTCATTATTTCAGAGAGAGGGAGAGAGAGAGAGAGAGAGACAGGGAGAGGGAATGATAGAGAGGGGGTAAGAGGGTGTCAGTGTATTAATAGACCGTGTGGGGTTGTGTTGCACACAAACACCTAACAAGCTCAGCGCAGAATTCCCTCAAGTCTTTAATACCAGCAATTAAGTTTCCCAAAAAGCCGAGTACAGAACGAGAGAGAGAGTGCTTTCTGTGTACTTCTGAGAGTTCTTGTTATTAGTCAGTTCCACTTTTATCGTAAAACCTCCCTGACCCGGATGCTGTCAGGTTCACTCTTTGGAGTTCTCAGATTATCATGTGACTGAGATGGAAGTTCAGTAAATATCAACCAACAGGGCGCCCTTCACGGTTCACTTTTGTCTTATGAAAACAGTTTGTGTGCTCACATGCTGTATTGGAAAGTATCCAAGTACAGTTTGGCTATTTAGGTGCAAAGCTGAAAAAAATAATACAGTATACTCATGCAGTATTTCTCATGGGTAGGTAAATACTTGAATGTATGGAAGTCCTATCTGGACATGAATCCTTATTTCATCTGTTCTCCTGTTACAAGATGTAATTCCTGGTTGTTTTCTTGGGATCTCAGTATGTTCATCTTGATATCTCTGACTATTTTTTATATTATCAGCGCAGTTTTAATATCAGATGATCATAATTTGTAGAGTTGCAAAAGCACCAAAACAATCACAGAAATAGTATTCTTTTTTTCTAAGCATCCAACAGTTGTATTTTAAGTGGTGAGACATTCCACAGGTTAGGGGCAGCTACTGCAAAGGTAGGACTGTCGCTGGTTTTAGGCAGATCCAGGAGATGTTGGCCTCATTTGCTTTTTAACATAATAAAGATGCATCAAGTCTGTTGCATGCACAAATGAAAACTTAAACTTTTTAACCAAGCAAAACTTTCTTAAATTTTAATGCAAGTAAGATATATATGAGTAACAGTGATCTTTATATTAGAATGTACAGTTGCAGTTAAAAAAAGAGAATCTCCCTAAAAAGTTTAATTAAAAAGTGAAACTTCTATAAACTCTACATCAAACATGCACAAAGTGAAATATTTCAAGGTTTTTTCTTTGTTCAGATGTTTAAGACTTACAGCTTACAAAAATCTTTCACAAGATTAATAAAGCCAATATTGATTTCTTATCACTTAAAACACTGCCGTAAAATAAAACCAGAGGGTTATAACATACATATAACATACTTCATTGTTTTATTCAATTTATTTAACCATAAGAACTGACATCCATGTCCTTACACACACACACAAATGGAGAAAAGCAGTACAAATGTTAAGAATAAAAAGCTGGATATACTGGTGACCCAGTGGTTAAAGGTGTAGCGATAATTTGACATTTTTTTTAATGTTCCATCAGAAAATGGACATAAATAAATCACTGTTTTCAGTGATGACAAAACAATTAAAATTTCCAACCCAAACAAAGATCAG